TACCAGTTGTTAAGGTTGCATTCTTCAATTTACACAATGCATCACTTCATTCATCCTCAACTTACATTTTATGACACTCAAAAATCAACAATATTACAGTAGTTTTTTCCCACTGCTTTCGCATCACTGGCAAAAGACAGTTTCCACTTTTCTCTAGTGTCCCGTTTTTCAGCTAATGAAGGAAAGTAATCTCAAGGGGAAAGAGTAAGAATAGGAAGAATTTATGGTTCAGCAACTGTTTGAATTTATTTAGGAGATCCATTCTCCAAATAAGAGAGCTGGTATGTTTTAACTGTAAGCTTTATAGAATGTGTTGTGATATTTGAATGATTTTTAAACCTCGCTGACTGCGAGCACAGATTCTGGAGAGTATATATCCCACTAGTGTCTATTAAAACCTTTTAAATTAAATGTTTTTCACTGTTTATACTGAATTTACAGTATCTGGTGTCAGTGTTACACATCTGAAAGGGGTTACTGCATTGCTTTCATGATACTACAACTGGAGATCATGCTTAGTCTGACTTTCAAGTGCCTTGTACATGCGAAGATCAAAGCAAGGTGGTCATGATGCATTCTGGAAAGGAAGTTAGTTTTTACAGGGAGGTATAAATAGTCTAGCTCTGCATATTTGCACACCAAACAAAAGGGCTACCCAACTGTAAGCAAATGTGCGTATAATTTCTGTGGAGAGCTATAAAAGCAAGACAGTTAGGTATGCTAATTAAATGTGAAGCCTTTCCTCTTTACTGTAGAGAAAAAAATGCTTTTTAGGAATGTATCTGGAAATCTCAATCTCCTGCCCAAGCTCACCAATCACCAATGCTCCTAGAAAAGGATTGCCCTCCTCTTTTTGTCAGCACGTTGGCCCAACACAGAGTGCTTTTAGGGCCATTTTCTTGTCCTTTAAGAGAATCTCAGAATAGTTCATTGGATTACAGATCCGATGACTATTCCATACCATACTATAACTGTTCCATAGTGATCTTTCCCTGTGTAGCTCACTGTTTTAGGTAGATTCCTGCTGCTGTTTATTTGAGATGTCAGGGAACTGTGTATTCATGTATGTAGCAAAACAGGTAGCAGACCGTCTTGGAGGAGAACAAATGTCTCGGCATTATCACCCAGGTGCTTGAACTGCAGAAGGAGTCTCAGGCAAGGATTTGATGCTCTTGTAAAGGAAAGCCACTGCCCTGCAGGTCTTAAGTAGCGCTAAAAGGTCAGTGAAGAGAAATCCAGGAATCACGAACTCCTCCCAGTTAAGATACCAATTGATACAATGAAATAATTCAGATCTCGGGCTGGAATGTAAACCAGGAGCTTTGGCTCTGAAGAACTCTTAAAGAGATGCAGATCCCTAGCAATGGGAACATCTTTGGATTTGATCACTCTTGCATCCTGTGCTCAGGTTCATTACACCACTCTGAGACTTCCACACTACAGTGGCAGGTTTGTCTCTCAGTGTATGCTTGTGCTGACGTTTGTGGTTGCTACTTTATTGCTGAAAACAAAAGGCATTCCACTGCTTAGACATTACTTCTTATTTTTAAAAAAATTATAATGGGATCCCCTTTTATTTTGGTTTAAAAACAAAACCTTGGGTGACAGTTGATTAAGACTTATTTTCACTTTCCTCTGACGTTTGCCTTGTGACAGACCTTGCTTTGGTTCTTGCTTGTAGTTTGATCTCAGTCCATGCGCAGTGCACATTTAGCCAACATTGTGCTAGAAAATGTTAAGTATTGGCAAATCTGTGGTAATGTATCGAGTAATTTAAATTCTAAAAAAAAGCAAATTAGAGGTACTTGCCTTTTATAAATATTGTATGGTACAGGTGTAAAGCAAAGTGTACATTGTAATTGTCAAAATAAAAAAGATCAAATTTTGGGTACCTTTGAAAACCTTGTTTTAAATTTATTTATTAGCATTTTGGGGAAAATGGGCTTTCACTGCAAGAGGAAGAACATAACAGCTAATATTAACTTGGAGGATACGAGCATTTTTTAAAGGTTTCTTATTTCACCTGCCATATTTATCCTTCTCTGCCTTTTGAAAAACCAATTCTCTGATGCCGATGAATGTTCTATCTCATTTGAAACTTATGGATTAATTTCATGTAGAAGTAGTTTGAAGGAATATTAAATTCTCTACCACAGGGGAATGTTGTATTTAAATAGTTTAAGTTTAATGGAGCTCTATTAAAGAAATGTCTATGGAATTCATTTAAATACCTCAGACTTCCTGAGTGCATTATAGAAAACTTTTAAAATATTTGGACCTCCTTCATTCATTGGTGCTACATCCCTCTTCATTTTCATGAAAGGGCATATTTAATGTCTTATCTGTTATGAAATGTATTTGATTGGTTCAGTTAGCCCTTAACACAAAGGGTCTGGAAGCCAAGGTCCCAACTGCACACCCATGCTGTAATACAGACTGATCCGTGGTCATGAGCCGAGTGTTCCTATCTGATGACGACAACCTGGAAATCAGGCTGGATCTAACTTGGGGTCAGATTGTGTGTGTGTGTGCGTGCGTGCTGGAGAAGTGACTCAAACCTAAGGGCGTTCTCCCGGAATGAAGGCAGGTACGAAGGCTGCACCACCTCCAGGATGGAGGTCTCGGTTATGCCAAATCAGCCATGACCCAGCAAGGAGTAAAAAACATGACATCATAAAATATGTACAGAAATAGATTCACATAGTCATGTCCTGGAAGCCTGAAAATACAACAGGTAGAGCAACTAGAAGGAGGTGGATTGAGAGCAGGCTCGACAGTCGGGGATCAGTAAAATCTACTGGTTAGGCTCGGTCAAAGGGAAGAGGATCTGATTTAAGTGCTGCCGTTATCGCCTTTGGTTACATGCTGGCTTTGGTGGTTAAGTGGTTTCAGTTGGATACTCTAAATTAAATAGGAAGAGATCTTTTTTTCCTCCATTTAATTCAGTTCTTTGCGATTTTTTCCCATAAATGTGACACCCTTATCCAGCTCAGCTGTTGCACTGATTTGTTTCAGGGCACTCATGAAGAGTGTGGTAGAGCACGCTGTTTGTGTTGAAAAGCCTTTGGCTCTTTGTACACAAGAAAATTATATAAACGAGTTCTTTCTCCTCTTAGGCGTCTGAACATGACATCACATGTACTTGCCACATATTTAGTCAGCCCCTTGGACTACTGTAGTCAGAGTTAAGAGCTCATGCAGCCAGTTCACTCTTAACATATCAGACGGTAAGATAAATCTCTTTTGTCTGAGAGCTGAACTTTCACGTCACTGTCCAGCAGATAAAAGCATCGCTTGATTGAGCGGTATGTATATTTTGGGATTTACAGTTGATGGGACAGTCTCGATCCATGGAAGGGAGCCACTGTGCTGGAATCCCTTTCTGCAGTGTCTAGGAGCGCCTTTGCTGTGGTGCCAAATTCCACAGTCCCATTCCAGCTGAACACTGTTTATTTAGGCCTTGGGCCAATGCATTCCACTCCCATTCTCCACAGAAACTGTGCGTTTTCCACCTTTGCATCCTGTGTGTGTTAGCTGCTCCCTTGCAGAGCTATTCTGTTAAATTGTAAACCACTTTTCAGTAGAGAGGCCAAGAACATTCCTGATAAACAACTATAAGGAATTAGTTCCGGGTCACGGAGTGGCCTCTGCTTCCTTTTTTATTTTCATTTTTTTTTTCTGTTTTTAAACCGCTAATTAGTCTTATTGGAGGACAGGATGTAGCTTCTACAGCTTTCGAAGTCATCATAATGTCCTTTTTTATCTTATGCTCCCTCCAGACACTTTCTCAGTTAACTGCCTAATAGTTAATAATTGCTTCAAAGATTCAGAAGTTACATGTATGTAATTGTTTCGGTGGAAGGTGGCAGATTTTAAAGTGATTGATTTTGCTTTTGTGAAGAACAAAGGTCTGGTTAACCAGCCAGTGTCCTGTTGTTTTTGTGCCTTTCTTAGGTTGATTGAGTTTATAGATGTACTGTCCATTTTTGGAAGCACGTATATAGACTTTTTATACACTGAAGTAATTCCAAGTTGTTGTTTTTTTAAATTATGTTCTCTTCAGGCCTTACATTTGCCTTTGGATATTGAGAAGGGGTTTTGTGTTGATCAAACGTGCACGAAACGTTTGATAAGTGTTGTGAAATGCAATGGTGGCATTTAAACTACTGTTAGCCATTGAATTTAGTTACAAGTTCCTAGGACTGCTTGTGAGACATTTTAATAATTTACCAAAAATATCATTCTTGGTGATGTAAGTCCCTGGTGTCAGATCTTGTCTGTTTCCCAGTGCTATCACGGTGGTCTTGTTAACTGTTAAAACAAACAGTAAATGTTCAGGAATGGTAGAGAAAATATATATATATATTTATTTTTAAACAGAAACCTCTTCGAATAATAAGGACGAAAAGCCATACTTTTTAAGTGGAACTGGGCGTGCTGCTACAAGAATAATACTGGCTGCCTAATTCAACTTCCATGCGTCTTGAGTTCTGGGTTCCTGTTTTTCTTATTGTTTTTTAATTCATAGCATACTTTCTGAAGCTAAATTTTGAAATTCTGTAGGAGAGTATTTTATTTCCACAGTTAACAATACATTGATGCATTTTACTGGAGTGTTCAAAGATTTTTTTTGTGACTTTGTAACAAAAAATCTTTTTTTGAGTTATCATGAATGTTAAGCCCATTGCAAATTGTCCTTTTCAACTTTACAATTAGATTGTTGTAGACCACAGTTTTGCTCCCTGCTTTCTGTCAATGATTGAAAGAGAGAAGCTAGGAAGATTCGTTAGCATGAAAACCGTACTCTTCACCATAAGTTGCAGAGATAAGGCGTGGTTTGTTCGTGACATTTGTCCTAGAGTATAAATTATTGAATGCCTTCCGCCTACATCAGAAAGGAATAATCGAGAAATGAAGTAACGGGTACAAGTGTGCCCATTGAGCTGCAAGTGTGGAAGAATGGGTGTACTTGCTAAACTGTCTGCCCTTTTCTTCTGCAGGGATGTCCATGGACAGTCCACAGCTCTCGCCCTATGCCATCAAGAGCCCCCTCAGCCTCTCACCCTCCTTCCAGATGTCCACGCTGAGCCTCCCCGGTCAGGCCCCCTCACCCCTGCAGAGCCCCGTCCTGAGTGAGGGGGGCAATGCCAGGCTGGAGGAAGAGGAGGAGGGCAGAAGGAAGGTACAACATCCACACCCCATCCTTGGCCTGCATATCACCCCCTCTTCTGGTGTGCAATCGCTGCTCTGTCCTCGATTGTGCTCCTGAAGATCACCAGAACCGTAGTTTCTACCCTTTTAAAACATAAGCACTGGACCACTGGAGCGACATCTGTCCTGCTAATCTTGCACTTGGAAAAACTGGACCAGACCCCCTGCCTCTGTTCTAATGCAGTTGTTGAAAAAGTCTTCATCTTGAACCAAAACTGAGCTGCTTCTTTACTACTCAGGTTCTCAAACTCTTCTGTGTATTCAGACTTTATTTAAAGCTAATCTACAGACTTCTTCTCAGTTTTTGATGCCCAACTACACACACAGGCCTTTCTTTGATCAGATTGCTGTCCCCAACGGGGTATTACTCACTTTTTTTTTTTTACTGGTGCACACACCACCTGTAAAACCTTCACACCAATCCTTTTTCCCTCCTTTCATGGATTTTTTTGCCTTTCTTTGGGGGAGTTTAAAACTACATGAGGAAAAAAAGTTAATTTAATATTTTACAGACGGCTAGTAATTTCTCCAAAAATTTGTTCCCCACACGTGGAAATGTTGCGATGTATGTTCATCACAGCTGCTGATGTCTCTTGTCGCGGTTCAGCGTGTGTGTTTACAGACCAGTGTGAAACTCATTAACCCTGTCTGCCAGTCTCCTGCTTTGACTGTGAGCATATGTACAGAACTGCTTCTCTTCTCAGCAGGGAGGAGTTGTAGCACTACCATGTGGTTTGTGCAATAAGAGATCATTTAAGCTCAACTGTCAAGGAACCTTGTAGTCATACTTTTGTCAATTTTAGGGGGGGGGGGGTTTCTATATTACACAAGATGCATCAATGGTGGTCCAAAAACTTGCTGTTTTAATAGCAGTTCTCGATGAACAAATACTTGGTCAACATTCATAAAAAATCCTTAAACAGTGAGGTGTTTGAATAGATTTTTAAACCGATTTATTGTTTGTTATATTGCACAACATTAAAAAGAACATAATATTTATTTTTTAAGTTAAACTTAAATTAATACTTTAGTGAATTAATATTCACTATTAATAATTCCATCTCAAAATAACATTTGCCACGGTGCAAATTTGTTTCTCTTTGATAATTGTTTTCAGTTTGTGCTGTGTTCTCTGAGGGCTTTTGTTTTCCAGGTGTTGTGGCTTTTGTTCACATTTCAGAATTTCAGAAGATACTGTTTCTTGCCCTTCTCTCCCTCACACATAAAATACTCTTCAAAAATAGTCTCAAAGGGAGTTAAAGGCATTTTCTTATGCTTATTGCTTATGTTTCTTTCAGAGGTATCCGGCTGACAAGGCTTACTTTATTGCCAAAGAGATTCTCACCACAGAGCGCACCTACCTGAAGGACCTGGAGGTTATAACGGTGGTAAGTACCTTCTGTTGACACAGTTAATACAGGAGGTTTCCATTGTTTTACTGCCTGGAGTGAGATTGTGCCTCTGCCTAGTGTGTAATAAGCTATCTGTGCTCTGCAGTGGTTTCGCAGCGCTGTGATAAAGGAGAATGCCATGCCCGAAGGTCTGATGACCCTGCTGTTCTCCAACATTGACCCCGTTTACGAGTTCCATCGAGGATTCCTGAAGGAGATTGACCAGAGGCTGGCTCTCTGGTGAGTGTCCCCTCCTTCCTGTAGTGCTGTAAAATCCCAGACATCTGAGAAGGAAACCGTCTGAACTGCGGTATCTTGTTGAGGCACTGTTTGAAAACATGACTCAACAGTGACCCCTGGGGCTTCAGATAGTGTGCACATCGCACGTTTCTTTTTCTGCCCGATCTGGAGAAATCTGCTATACTGTTTCCCTAATGCAGTCTAAGACTGTGTAGTAAGAAAAGTACTTTTGGGAATGAATTCAGACCAAATATCAGAAGTGAAATTTTAACTTTTTGTGTGTGTATCTACAGATAAGACCAAATCTGATGAGCATTCCGAGGTTAACTAAATGCATACTTTTCAACAACCAAAGACAAGAACACACCAGTTAGAATATGTAAGAATTGTGTTTCATGAATCTCATGCTCTCGCCCAGTACCTCTAACCAAAGGTGAAGCCGTGCAGTGTGTTTTTAGTGTTCTCTTTCCTGGGTTTCCAGGGAGGGACGCTCCAATGCCCATGTGAAAGGGGACTACCAGAGGATTGGGGACGTCATGCTGAGGAACATGTGTGCACTAAAGGTGAGGTTCTTAGTGTGCCGTGTGGTGGGGCTGAGTGTGCACTCCTGGCACGTGGTTTGCACGACAATCATGACCTCTTTATCACCCGGGTGTGAGTTTATTTCATTCATCAGACCTGCAGAGTAAACCACAGCAGCCGGTGCAGCTCCTGTACATTTAAAGACCTATCGAATTGTTTTTTTAAAGGATGAAAGTTCGCACCACCGTGGATTCTCTTTCTTTGCAAAGGCTGTTACCAAATACAGGTGGTCCCAGCTGTGAGTCACCTCTCTTTACTCCCGTTTCACACCTAATGTCATTGATTAAATTGGAGAACTCGACGCCAAATCCAGGGTTTTTCAAGACCCCAAAAACTAGAAACGTTGGTGGTTTGTGGTTTTGTTGTGGTAGTTAAGTGTAGATGAGATATGGCGAAGAGCAAAATCAAGCTCTAAAAATTCTTCTTCTTGTAGACTGTGCTGTTAGACTAGACAAAACATGATTCTGAATCATTATGCCCCATCATTAATGATCAGTTCTTGCCACCGTCCAGTGTATAACTGGTTAAGGTTTCATCACTGACTTTAAGTGCATGAACAGTGTGTGGTAAAACAATCTTACCTGAAGCAGTGAATGACTTTGTTGGTTTCAGTGAGACCAGAATTTGAGAAGAGTTAGTGACCGTTGATTTCCATTTGTTTTTTTAGGAGCTTGTGTGTTTATTAAATGTATATACTGGGGTCGAAACTGTATGTTGGGAATGCATCTCAAGCTATTTACATTATTTGTTATGGATATTGTCCCTCAAGGCATTTCGATTTAAGGTTCATTATTTAGGAACATATCCTGGACTTATAATGGGTCTGTCTTACTGTATTTGGCACCTACAAGTGAAATACACACACCCCGTCTAATTTATGGTGCCTCACCCGACTATTCAGTCAATTCTTAAGGAAAAAGCCTGCTTTAAGTTGCTGGGCAAAGTGACTTAATCCCAAACCCTCCATATTTACATTATTCTTATGGGGAACAATTCCCCTTTATACGTCAATTCACAATGCATCATGAGCTTTGTGGTCCCTATCCCAGATATATTACGGGGACCCCATGTTCAATACAAAATGTGAATGTAGCAGTTTGCGGGGTGCTACAGTGGATGTGGTGATGCTAGAGTGTGGCATGTCACAGAACGAGGACCACAGTGCTGGGGCTGGCTGCGGCGCTTGACGCTGTTCTCTGGGGTGTCTGTGTGTGCCACGCTGTTCAGGAATTCACCAGCTACCTGCAGAAGCACGACGAAGTCCTGACGGAGCTGGAGAAGGCCACCAAGCGTTTGAAGAAGCTGGAGACGGTGTACAAGGAATTCGAGCTGCAGAAGGTGTGCTACTTACCCCTCAACACCTTCCTGCTCAAGCCCATCCAGCGCCTCATGCACTACAAGCTCATTCTGGAGAGGCTGTGCAAGCACTACTCTCCCGAGCACAGGGACTACAAAGACTGCAAGGGTAAGACGGCCTCTGTGCACCCAGCTGCGCCCCTCTTGGGCCAGAGGATTTGTTCTCTCCTCCTTTTAATAATCTGTTTTGAACTATGTGCTCTATTAAATCAGACATATCCTTTCTCTCAAGCCTTGATATATGGATTATTTGTGAAACCCCCCTGGATCCCAGGCCTCCAGAAATGACGCTGTTCTGCTGTGACCCACACTAAACCACCCTAGAAACCTCACCAGCTTTCTTCCTTTGTCTCCTCTTTCTGAATGGACTCTCATTGGCTAGTTCAGGTCCTGTTTAGCATGAGTTGCTTTGCGAGGCCTTGAGGAGGCCCGTAGAGAGACATCACTGTAGTCATGAGAATTCATCTTTATTTTTTTATTTTTTTTGCGGCTCTCCCGCAGAGGCCCTCAAGGAGGTAGCCGAGATGGCCGCCCAGCTCCAGAGCAGCCTGATCCGGCTGGAGAACTTCCAGAAGCTCACAGAGCTGCAGAGGGACCTGATTGGCATCGACAGCCTCATAGCTCCTGGGAGGGTGAGTACAGCACGCAGCCATGGGTAGCACTGCAGGAGGTGGGTCTCTCAGTGGGACAGGAGTGTTTCGCTGTGACCGTGAATGACCCAGCATCAGGAGTTTCTCATGATGAGTTTGTTCTGTTCTGTAACTTGTCCTGTATGTTTTGCTGGGCCATGGGATGTGTCAGCATGACAGTGTGGTTATGAGCGCATGGATCTCGCGGTGCGAGAGTCATTGCTGATTCTAGTGTGAGTAATGAAACCTGTCCTGTCTGCAGGAGTTTATCAGGGAGGGCTGTCTGTACAAGCTGACCAAAAAAGGGCTGCAGCAGAGAATGTTCTTCTTGGTAAGTGATGTTTTAGGGTCTTACAGCTATTGCAGACTTTGAACTCTTATTGTGGCTTTCCTGCAGTTAGAAACAATTTTTTAAAAGATTTCAGATGGGTTTTTTTTGTGAAGTGATGTACTGTGAACCCTGCATAACATATTCGTTCTGGGATCCTGCAGACTTTAGATGTAAGCATAGAAAGTTGCTGTGCCTGAGTTTGAATTGCATTTTGCATCACAGTAATGAGTCAAATTTGTGATAGTCCCGTTGAACAGGAAGTATCTTGAGTGTTGATTTTATTTGTTAAACAATTTAATATCACCATGTGTGGAAAAAGTAAATCTTAACAAAGTGTTTTATCTTCTGATCATAGATCACTAGTGCAAACCATGGCTTTTGTGTAAAAGAGAAATGTGATTTTGTTGCTCTCTTTTGCTCCTAGTTCTCCGATATGCTCCTGTACACCAGTAAAGGGGTCACGGCCACCAACCAGTTCAAAGTGCATGGCCAGTTACCGCTGCATGGCATGATTGTGAGTGCCTGCCTTTTCTATTGCACAGTCTCACTGTTGGTCTGCGTGTATCTTTGTTTCACCGTTGATGACAAAATGGGCGCAGATCCTTGCGTTCAAGGTGTGGGAGCCTGCTGTTTACAGCTTCGAAACTTGTCATCCTTAGACTTGATTTTGAAGAACATTAATATCAGTACTGAGTAAATGTTAGTCTCCAGTTACTTATCCTCTCTTGAGTCAGTCATCATTGATATTAAAACAGGGACATATGCTGTATATATGACTGAGGATATATAGATAACCCAGGGTTTGACTGTAGGTAATGAAAGAGTATCAGCATGATTCAGCAGTATTTGTTTTCTTAAGGCTGTGTCTGTTGCTGGATTGGTTCCCCGTCTCCGGATTGGACAGTGTAGCACTTGAATACATTAAGGGGAAATGTGTTTCTTGTTTCCCATGAGTGCTGTATATCCCAGCAGATATCTTTATATAGCCTCTTGTAAAGTCAGGCTGGGCAGGAGGCTTGCAGTGAGGGAGAGTTAGGGTTTCCTGCAGTAACCTGCCTTGTCTCTGCTTCACCCCTGTCTGCAGCTCATAGTGTTGGATGCACCGGTAAGTACACAGGATACCCCACGCAGGGGATACACAGATGATGGCTGTTGTTGTACTTCTGTAGAGCACCAGCAGTTAGCAATTAGAAATGTGCTATAAAACTGTGGCCCTCTCATTCTGCTCCATTGCAAACCAGTTCCTTCATTAGATTATCATTGATAATAAGGAAGGAATAAGGAACTGATGGATCAGTGAATGCAGTAGGTAAGAAGGAACACATGCTAATGGACCTCAACATAGAGTGCTAAACTTAAAACCACCCTAGAGCTTCTTGATTGCCTCCCCTTATTTTTTTGTAACTGATCTGATCTTTGTTAATAGGGGAACAAAAGCAAAATATCAGTCTTCACGTCAGAGACTACAGCTCTGATTAGTTATCATATCACATTGACTAGGATCCTGAAAACACTGTACATTTAGAATGTTCTGATTAGTCCAGCTCAGTGCATGCAATACTGTAGTACTCCTTCCATTGCAGTCTGGTTACAGTTGCTAGTAGTGGGTGGTGGGAATCTGTTAGTAGCCCACAAGGCTCTTTGGCAAATACAGACTAACATAGAGGCTTTGCCCACTCTGGTAGAGAAGCCTGAGTGTTTGAAGCAGGAGGAGGCAGTTGGTGGAGCCTGGCTACCAGCCTCTTTACCCCTCCTTAGTGGAGACCAGGGCTGGGGTGAATTTCTTGCCTGTGGGCTCTGGCAGCTGACCTTTCACCCCGGTTCCTCCCCTGCTTTCCAGGTAGAGGAGAGCGAGAACGAGTGGTCGGTGCCTCACTGCTTCACCATCTACTCCGCGCAGCGCACGATTGTGGTGGCCGCGAGGTAAGACGCCGCCTTCCTGCGCCGCTGTGCCCCAAGCCCCGCGTGACTGAGACGTGGCAGGGAAATGGTCCGAGCTTTTCACCTTCATACATTCACTGCTTCCCACCTTTCCCTAGCACGTTTTTTCTCAGCCTCTCAAGGTATTTCAAGTTTAAATGTAAAAGTTTGACGTTTTAAATTAGGAATTGTATTCTGTCTAGAAATAGAAAATGTTGTGCTTGCCTATTAAGTATTCTTCAATGTTTGTCTTTAAATATCATTAGGTATCGATAGGCTTTCCTTGTAAACAAGCTTGGGATACTTATTTCTGAGAACTGTGTGTTTGGACTGGAGCTGTACTTTTTTGTGAACTAGAGCAAATGAAGATCAGAACACAGTTCAGATTCTTTGCCTTCTCCCTTGTTGGCGTTATCGCAGCAGGCGCTGTTGCCCTTACGTGCGTGTGGCAGTCCTTATTGAGACCTGCTTGCAGCTTTGTGGGCTTGTCTGAACTCTGCTCCTAAACTGGGGACATTTTGATCTTTTTATGTCCTCTCAGCTCCAAAGTGGAGATGGGGAAATGGATTGAGGACCTGAACATGGCAATCGATATGGCCAAGAAATCCCAGGAGAAGTCAGAGTTCTTCCTGGACAGCAGCCTGTGTGACCGATCTAACAGTAGGTGCCCCCTCTAATTCTGCACTGGCAGTGTCTGCAGCTGGGCCAGATTCATCAAGTTTTGTACCAGGTTCAAATGTAACTTTTCTCTCTTGAAGGAGTTGAAATTGTGTCATTTGGGGTAATCGAATGCCTGTCTTACTGTACATCAGAATCATGCAAGATCCTGGTCCAACACTTGTTGACTCTGGTCTCTGTACTCTTAGGAGTTAAAGGTATTGTTCATTGCATTGCAGCATGGAAGTGTGCTGCGTGTCAAAGCCTTTCTCACTGGAGCACAGCGAAATACCTAATTCACAAGCCTCTTCAGTAGTCAAGCCCTGTGCCTTTTCTGTTTTTTGAAAAAAATAGAAATGTTCACCCCCATGAGATCCCAGATTTACTTTCACAGTATAGTAATGAAAACACATTCTTGGCATGTCAGCAAGGTTAAGGTCTCAGGACCCATGGGTTGATTTCAGAAGGTTTGTTTCTCTAATGTAGCCAACCATCCAAATACACCTATAAAGAGTAGAGGATTCGGTCACAGTACTCCAGTGGGAATGTGGGCTGGTTTGATTAGTTATAATAATTCTGTATTTGGATTTTCAAATAGATGCAGTTCAAAAACACTGCCTTTCCTCTTTATTTACCAGTGGTGTCAATAGTTCCACAAATGAGAGCGCTCATCTGCATGCAGAGCACAATATGGTAATTTGCTCATTAACACTCAAGAACTGATGTAGCGTTTTTCTGCTAGGTTTAATACTCTTATCGGTGTCCAAATTCATGAAATATGTACAACACTTCCTGCAAGCTTCATTTCTGCTTTGTAAAATGTAGGCTTTTTGTTTTGCCTTTTACACAAAATCAACACAAGCTGAGCACAGCCCTAAATAACATGAGCTGACCTGTTTGCCAAAGAAAACCATGATGCAGTGTTCTTGACTGCATTTATTGTCTTCGCAGTGTTCCCACAAACTGAATTGTGTGCAGTCGTCCACTTAACCTCAAGTGCTCCTGAGATGTTTTGTTTTCATGTTGAAGCTCACGGCTGACCTGAGAATCAGGGACCCATGCCTCTCTTCACAGGAGATACAGCTAGCCATCTTCCTCTCCCTGCTGGGGCCTTCTTAACCCTGTGCGTGCCGTCCCCTGCCCCTCTTCCCCGCTGCCCTGGCTGTCTCTCTCTCTCCGGCAGGGTCCTCAGACGAAGTGTCTCTGGAGCAGGAGTCGGAGGATGACACAAACTCGTCGCGCAGCTCTCTAGACAAGCAGACGCACCACCGCGCCAACACCACCATGCACGTGTGCTGGCACCGCAACACCAGCGTCTCCATGTCTGACCACAGCCTAGCCGTGGAGGTACCCCATCCCTGCCCTTCCTCCACTGCCTGGGGGCTGCTCTCCCCTCCCCTCCCACCCCCCCTGCCGAACCCAGGGACACGGCCCGGCACACTGCGGACTGTCCACGCCCCACGTCTTGACTCGGTTGGCGTTGCATTCCAGTGTGTAAAAGGAAAAGCTTAAGGAATGCGGATTTGAGGATTTCATTTCTGATCTAAAAAGAAGCGTAAAAAGCTGTTCTGCTGTTTTAACTAGCTGTAGTTTAGCCCTTGTGAAGAGGCTGTAAATGTGAATATTTTGAATTGGATGACACATATAGCAACTCCGCAGTGCTGTGTTAGTAATATTGCCTGCTGTAGGACACAGTGCCACCTACTGCTTTATGAAACCAAACCCATTCATCTGGATTCAAGCGTTCTGCGATTTCAGATATATAAATATCCCATTGGCATAAAATACAGGATTGTTTGGGTGAAGGGTGTGTTTCTCTGGGTTACTCAATTTTTGCACAAGCTTTGTTCTCCAAAATTTCTCTGTCTCACTGTCCAGCAGGGCAGCTCCAACCAAGGCCTTCTCATTTTTTCCTTTCAGCATTCACTCGCTTCTTTCTCCTTTTTACCACCCTTTCATTTCAGCATTATTCAGTTCTCCCTACACTCTTCCCATTCCCTGCCCGTTTCCGGATGAGAGAACCCATTTGTGTGCCCCTCTTAATTGGCAGTCAGAGGGACCTCAGCCTTTTTTGTCTTTGTTTTTAAGCTTGCTTGCTTGCTTACTTAAAGGTCGTTAGTGTTTATCAGTCCAGTGCTGTATGTAAACTGAAATGCTGATTCTTCACAAATGCATGCTGTGAAGAGTACAAGATTCCTTGAAAGGCAGAGGGAATAAACGTGCTATTCCCCAAGAGAGCTCACAATAATCCAATCTTCCACAGTCACTGTTAGATTCAAGTTAATTTTGCGTGAAAGACGTCAGCCTCACCTCGTTTCATCAATCAGAATGTCGGTGTCCTTAATGTGGTTCTTTGTGGAATGTTCAAAAAGACAATAATCCACTTCCTTTCTACCTAACAGCTCACTTCTTGCCTCTGGGAGGAGACTTTAACACGCTGCTCCGGCCTGCCTCTGGTCCTGTGTCTACCGGTTTCTTTGTGCTGACATTTCCTGTCCTGTCTCTTTTCTCCCCTCTGCGTTTTCTCTCTTCCTGTCTCTCAGCCTGCTCTCCGGCTGTCTCCCCGGAGCTCCCCCCTCGTTACCTCCTGGGTCAGGGTCAGCGGCCCAACACCATCACCCACGTGTGCTGGTACCGCAATCAGAATCTCTCTCTGTCCGATTACCTGCGCATGAACCAGGTACAGCTGGCCCCTATCCCCACGGCTGCCCACCCTGTAAACCTGCAGTTGGCACAACCCCCTTACCCCCCACTGCTGGCCTCCTTAATGCCACAAGAGTCTGTAGAGCTCTTCTTTCAAGTGGTATAGGACTGTTTTTAGGAAGCCTCTTGAGACACTTTGTTATAAATCTTTAGGTCTAGGTTTAGGACCTCTTTGATTGCACTAAGTGGAGAGAAAAGATGTAATCATACCCAAACTCATCTTTAACCTTCTAGATTCCTGCATTAGCTAAATATGCAAGGAAAGGGCATTTTATTACTTCCCTAGAATTTATACCATAAAATAGTTTTCTGACTGAATGCATGTTGGCCTGGCATACTGACGAATGCATTGTGAAACTTTCCTGTGCTCACAACACATGTGGAGCTCAGTGTCTCCATGCAGGTTCAACGCAGGCTTGTTATGCGATACGTTTTATCTCTTGAATATCAAAAAGTGGTTGGGGGCGTAAATGTTGCGCAGACATTTCTAAACAAAGCTTGAGTGCTTCGCTGAAGTTGATTGTCGTTGGTACAGAGATCAGCATGTTCTTATCTCACTCCACTGCTTTAAATCTTGAGTCTCTCCCTCCCATTCATCCTGTCTCTTTTGTGCTTTTCTTTACACTTCCAAACGTGTTAAAGTCAGCCTGTTTTACCAGTTTTCCAGCCACAGCACTGTTGTCCCCCATCTTTGCAGCTTTTCTGTAGGACTCCTGCTTCAGGCCGATGCTGGTGGTGGAAGACAGACCACCCAGCTGTATACAAAGTTTTGTGTTTTCATTATGATGAGTGAAGTCCTACCAATGGACCTCTCTTTTTCCAGGTTTACCCTCCATTGGCTGTGCAGAATGCACAGACCTGAAATCAGTTTTTTATCTGTGGCTTAAGAACCCTTGGCCCCTTTGATGGGCTCTTGTTAGGTGTCATTGGACCTCTTAGACCAGATGAATGAATTGCCTGTGCTGGTGCTCTTTCTCCTCATGAGCTTCCTGAACTATTCTAAGAGAACAGCGTGTTCTGAGCCCCTGGCTTGCCGAAGCCTCATTAGTGGAAGAGGGTGAGGAGCCGGGGTGCTCGAGGGGCCCAATCAGATGAACTAGTCCGTGCAGGAGTCCTGAACTGCGCCCGTAATCAGAAAACCAGAAAACAATCCCCGGAAACATCAGTCGAGATCAAACACTGAAAGTGGGAACAAACCGGTTTGTAGTTTACAGAATATGTGTTCTGTCATTTTTTGGAAATATACACTTTTTTTAGCTGGACATAGAGATGCCAAATAGATGGGGGGGGAAAAACAGTGATTAATTATACATGGCGGGTACTGGCTGCTTCAGACTATAATTCGGTTTGTATTTGTACCGATCAGTTTCGGAGTTAAAAAAAAAATGTGTTCTTTTTATACCAAGTTAGGAGTACACCAGAATGAAAAGTTTCACAATTTCCAGTATTATTTGGCAACAGTTTCATACAATTTTCCAATTTCGTATTAAAAACACAAGGTTCAGGAATGAGAGGGGGCATACAGTATGTACCCCTTTTTTTCTTGTATGAAGGTTTTTTGCCCAACTTTCCCCCACGTTCTAAGAACCGGAGGACTGGATTGACTGAAGTCTGGGATCACCCTTGTCTTAAAGTAACAGCCCAGTGAGCTGCTGTGCGTCTGCGCTGCTGACTGCTGCCCTGTTTCCTGTTTCCTGTTGCCAGAACCAGCTCTCCGGCTACCTGCTGAGGAAGTTCAAGAACAGCAATGGCTGGCAGAAGCTGTGGGTGGTCTTTACCAACTTCTGCCTGTTCTTCTACAAGACACACCAGGTACTGTCCCTGCCCTTTGCAGGGCTTCATCACAGATGGGCATCGCGAGGGCACATCAAGAGTTCAAACCAGTGAATGACCAGAAATATTCGTTGCGGTTGAGGGGTTTGGTCTCTTCTCTCTTTGCAGTTATATCTGTGTTGTTCTTTAAGCTGCACAGCCCCACACCAGGCTCCTGCTGTCACTGCCAACGTTTACAAGCTGAACCATATACAAAATATGTACAGTATATGCAAAATTTAAGTAGCTGTATTCTCTTAAAAGCTGTTTTGAATCACTGTACATAATAATTTAGATAACAAATGGCAGAATAGCAGTATAACAAATTCTAAAAATGTTGGTAAATGTCGTGCTACAGACTTTATCTGGCGTTTTAATATTTTTCAGTACTGTTTAAAGAGAATGCTGGTTGCAGTGTTCTGTCTCAGACAGATGATGTGTGAGATAATAAAAAGTGTTTGTGGTCCTGACTCCACAAAGTTGTTTATCATTTTCTCTGGAGCCACCAAACGCAAAGCAATTAGGTTACTGTGGTGATGCATTGAAACATTGCTTTATGCAGTTCATAAATCATTTTACTGCAGTGTTGGCTGAAACAGCATGTTGCCTGTTGAGGCAAGGTGGCCGGAGTAGTCTGACTCATATTACTGTCACTGCTGCCTGCTCTAATGGTTCATAGCTGTGTAGACTGAAGAATAGGTCAAACAGTTCCTGAGTCTGATTCAATTGAGGAGCTCACACTGAAAACATCTGTGCTTCCATTGCAGGATGACTTCCCCTTGGCCAGTCTCCCGTTGCTAGGCTACACTGTCAGCACCCCAGCAGAGACCGACAGCATTCACAAGGAGTACGTCTTTAAGCTGCAGTTCAAGTCCCATGTGTACTTCTTCAGGGCTGAGAGCGAGTACACCTTCGAGAGGTACGAAAAAAAGCTTTCCGATGCCACACCCCAGTGGGTTAGTCTCTTCTGACAGCACAGATGAAGGGTGCTTTCCTCACTAGGGCTCTCCGATTGTATCATGTGTAATAAGTAGCAGTTGTAATGTTTATATTTAAACCTCCCTCAGTCACTGCCCTTGCTTCAGTAATAATGGCAAATTATTTAGGGAAGTTTTATTTTTTTTTAAAAAAAGGTAAGGAAAGAGAGTACTGTGTAAGAGAATTATACAGGTAACACTTTAGCTGAGGGAATACCCACTATTTCCGAATTCTTCATAGCCATATATAAATGTTCTATTAACTGTGGCCATTCAGTGCAGTGTTACCCGCTCACTGGAGCAGGCTGGGAGTCCTGTTCAGCATGTCGTGGCTCTTGTCCTGCAGGTGGATGGAGGTGATCAAGAGTGCAGCAAGCGCCACAGGCAGAATGAGTCTCCTGATACCCAGGGAGCCCCCGGAGACCAATGGCAACTGAGCAGCTTGCTGGGCGGAGCTTGTGGAGCTGGGGGGCGGGGCCTCACAGACTCTTGGGGGCTGATGGGTGCGTTTTAGCGTTTTTCTGAGAAACTCTTCTACCATAGGCACAAGGATGGGTCGCCAACAGTTTGAAAGACTGTATCGGACCGGCAGATTGAACAGTGGCCCCCTTTTAATTTCTGTAAGCATGCTTGACCTATACAGCACACTGTGGAATTATCTGGTGGAGTTTCATCTGAGGTATGATGAGTGGCTGTGCAGCTTTACAGTTCTGGCACATCCACAAAGATGCAAAAGTACAAAATCGGTATCGGAGAGCTAGCCGACAGAAGACTTTGTGCTGTTGAAGAATAAACCAAGCCTTTAGCTGTATGATTCATCTGAAGGAAATCTGTTCTGTGCTAAAATCATTTTTTATATGTATTTAACTATGTTGTGGTGGTCAAGGTATAAAATAGTTTTATTAAAGTTTGTAGTGCCAAACAAGAATAATAGTTTACTAGATAAAGACTTGTCATTTTTATAAACTTGAAGTCAATTCTAATTAAAGCTCAACTGTAGACTGGAATATTAAACATACACAGAAGCAGTTGTGGCGAAAGTACCATGAAGCTGGCTGAAACTACTCCCATTTGACACAGTTGTAATGATGCACCCCGTAAGCAACAGTGTGTTTTATGTCACTGTTGCTGAAGGAAATTTGAAGGGACCAGCTTTTTAATCTCCTGGTAACAAATAAATGACTGCTGTATAACCACATTCACTCAGGGAAGGGATGGAGTATGAACTCTGGGGGCTGTAGCTTGTCCACAGTTCGAGGATGGAGGCGGTGCTGTTGGTCTCGAGCCTCGGTTCTGCAGTGTTCCTGGTTTGGCCTAGGCTGCAGTATGCTGAGTGGTTTCTTACAAGACAGTCTCACGAAGCAAGAAGCGCAGGAAGGGGATCCTGTGAGGATCCCCTTGAGAGGGCATCAGAAAGTGCAGGCAAGTTGGATGATGGGTTTTAGGTGAAGAAACAATGGAGCCAACATCTTTGAAAATGGGTCATATGTACCCGTGTCGGAGAGCCGTGCTGCTGAATGATGTTCAGCGTTGGGGTGGCTCTCATGTATTTGTTATTAATAGAATGGGGCATGATGTGATGCCACCGGAGGCTGGTGGCTTTCTGCGATTTTGGTCAGGCAAGTGTGAGGGTCAGGCTCCAACCCTAAGAGGACCTCGCCCAGTGAGCACTGCCTCTGTCCCGAGCGCTGTACGAGGGGGGAGCGAGGGGGTGTGGGACACAAGCAGGCTTTGTGTGCATGTTTAAAAGGGGCAACTACAACCTAATCGCTGCTACAGCTGACCCGTTGAATACAGTCTGGCAAAGAATTTGGGTTGTCGTGGTGGAAGATGAGCATGGTCATTGCCGTGCGCGCTCTTGATGCTGTTGTTCAGATCTTTCATGGGGAACTCAACTCTAAAACGTACCTATGAAGATGAGAGGAGTGTTTGTGGTAAAACATGTGCTATCACAGTATCATCTCATGCCCATGAAGAAATGGTTGAATAGAAAGTGATATGAGATTGACAGTATATTCCAGTGTTTTTGACTGGTACATTAATAGCAGTTTGCATCTAACTTTTTAAAACTGAACAGTACTATACTGTTTTTCCATCCTATGTTCCTAAACGTGTTGTAATGTAAAAAATCAAATAAACTGATGTTTGCACCAGTGCTGCATTTAAAATGGTTTGGCAGTATTTTAACGTTAAGTTAAAATGTTTGGGAATGACTTCATAGATATTTTTTCCAACAAATTTTCACAAAACAAATGTATTTGTGATTTCATAGATTTTAAACATTTGACTTGGATATATTTGGATATTTCGGTTAAAATGGATTTGGAAATTTGATACTTTTTTCAAAAAGCCTTTCCTGTTCATTTAATTTATATTATTATTTAATTCAGGACAGCATGGCCAGTTGTAGGCTGGGACAAGCCAGATTTTGGGCTTGCTGCTGTTCAAATGAATATTACTGGGGGTTTTTTGTATTGGGGAGTGGAAGTATAAATTAAGCTAGATCCATAAAAACCAGTCATGGGAAAAACCTTTTATTCACATCCTTTCTTTCTTCAATGCCATAAGCTGTCCCAATAAAGAACAGAGACTAGTAGGTGTTATGTCATATTTTCAACATTTTCCTGTTCTTGCTCAATGAGTTATCTTTTGCTTCTGTGAAAAAGAAGATTTTAGTCTGCAAGTCCAGCTTTAGTCTCCTATTCCTTGTTGTGGATGTGCAGCAGCTCATTGGGGCCTTGTGTTTGCAGTGTCAGACAAAGCAATTCAAGACGGACTGCAAAACTAAGGTCGACTATTCAGTCTGTAGGATGTTCGAGTTAAATGGCTCAGAAAATCTTTAAGTAGTTTGACCTATAGATTTTGTTCAATCCAGTGAAATACCTTTGTAAATCCTATCACCTAATTTAAAATTACAAGCAGAATATCATTAAGAATTTTACCTCACAATTAGGCCAGTAATAGTCACTTATTGCTGCTATTAAAATGTTTCTTCTCTTCAGTAGTATAATTTATTTATAATGTTGAAAGGTTTAATCTTGTATCTTGGATTGTGCAAAATTTCCAAAATGCTTTTTCTAAAACATTTTTGGGATTACAGAGATAGGATTCTAGGACTTAGTGGGCACATATTGTGTTTGAACTGTGCATACTAAAATTACGAGTGTAAAATGCAAGACTTCCTGCAGCAGTTTAGAGTATAATTAATCTTCACTTTATGTACTCTCCAACAGTAACTAAGGATACCAAATGAATGTTATATGAGGGGGAAAGAGACTTTATTTTAAAATCTATTTTTGGATTCATTTGTGATCAAGTCACTGCCCAAACTCAATTTTACTCTGCCCTATTTCACCTGTTGTGTTGGTCCATTATGCCAAAAACTCCCTGTGCTTTGAAGGAAAGAATTCTGCTGTCATTTTTTTATTTTACCAAATAATACATTTGAATAATTTGGTTATTCCTTAATAAAAGTGATTACTAGATGAAGACCATTAGAAAATGTGAGCCTACATTTGTATTCAAGTTAATAATGAAACAGAATCTCAAAGCTTTATGTAGAGTAATATGCTTTGCAGAAATATAAGGACTTTAAAAGATCAAGATAATGACTTACAGCTGATTAAAATCAAATTAATATTTCATAACATGATGTTTTGATGTGTTAAGGAAAGGCTGGTTAAAAGTTTCTCCGGGGTGGTTTTTATATGCTTTACATTTAAGCTGGTTTTAAGACCCAATTAAAAACATTTTTTTTTTTGCAGAATTAAACTGCAGTTCCTTAAATATTTCCTAAGGCTCACTCAGCGCTTAGTAGTTTATGCATACGGATAAAAAGAAGCATTGACAGTAGCAGAAATAATTAGCAAACTTAAGTAAAGGCAAAGTGTGCACAAATACCATCATGTTAATTGGACATTTGGGAATTTGTTAATATAGAGAAGTGTTTCCTGGGGATTTGGCCCGTTTCTTTTGTCCGCGATACAAGTGGGATGTTGACCTGTGTATGAAAAGTCATTTGAGCTTTTTAGACACAAAGTGTGGCTGTCAGGAGCAGTCTATATTTCCCATTGGATAAGGGTTTCTGTGCACCTCTTGGCATAACTGAAATTGATGCCAGAATTCGTTTTCCTCAGTTATATTTTTAAAAATCAGTGTTTTTAAAAATATTGCAATATGTAATAATGGGCATTGGGTGACTCATATGTAGAGATTTGTATTGTGGGGGAGTGGTTATTTTAAGTGGATTCTCTTTCCTGGCAGTGGGTGTTCAATTCCCTGGTGCCTATATGGGGTTACTGCAGTAGTGTTCAGTAGTCCCTAGTGTGGGGGGGACTCCATAAATTACTTTTAAAGTGTTTCTGTGTAATGACTGGTGTGTCAAAGTTTTGTCTCATCTTTTTATGAAGGAGGGGAATGGGGGTACACTACCTTTTGAGCATTGTCTTAGAGCTTTTTTTTTTTAAAGAGACTTTAGATTTACTCATTAAAACCTTTGAAAAATGCTTAACTGGATTTTTGGACAACTTTTTAGGGTTATAGTGTAATTTTAATTTGTCTTTTTTTCCTTTTACTTTTTTTTCCCGTTCATTGTGTCAGCCTGTGTTTCAAAGTGTCTACATTCATCACTGTTTCTATATGTGTGCAGAAGATTTTATTTAAGTAAACGCAGTAGCCTCCCAGATGAACTGATTCCCATCTTGTTGTAATCTGACTGCGGGCTTGCTCCTGTGTCATTCTGTTTACTATCTGTACCAACTGGAACCCTTCTGTGATTCCTGGGCTCTCTAGGTTAGTTTGAGTGGCTCTGCAGTGACTCACTATTCCTCCTCCTTTTATTTTTGTCAGAGAAATGTTAACCAGGTTTCAAGCAGCCCCCTCCGTATTGGATTTTAATAATGTTATTTCTATTTATTGTGTAGCATGTTGCCGGAGTACCACTCCTGTTAAGATCTGCATGTAGTTTTGTTACATAATTACAGTGAAAGGATAACAAATAAAATGAACTGACAAAGTTTAAAAAGTCCCTGTTTCTTTTAATGACAGTGTTTAATAGGTGTTTTGACTTTCTCACCACTGTCGTGGTTTCATATTTTAATTAAAATACACATCCGGAACAGGCATTCTCTGTACAAAACTGCTTCAACGCTTCCAATAAACTTTATTGTATATGACAAGATCTAATACACAGCGCTTGTGACTTTTTTTTAAACATTCTCTGTCCTATAAAGAAAACTGTAAAAATATTTTCATTATAACCTCTAATTAAAAGATCTCTGGGGCCGGGAGGGCAGTGGGCAGCAGGTGGAGGGGGGGCTGGAGTGCTCTGGTCCAGGAGCAGGCCGGGCTTTTGGGGGACAGTATCAGCAGATGGACCAGATGGGGAGAAGGGATTTGTCCAGACGGCTCGCCCAGGGAGGGACTGAGGATTAGCAGCCAGTAAGTTTCACCGCGAGGAAGGGGTGGTGTTCCCATTCAGTGAAAACCTGGAGAGGAAGAACAAGGCCATCTCTCTCTATGAACACGTAACTGCATTTTTTCCATTTCATAGGAAGACTCACTCAGCACAACAGTCCATGTAGGATCTAAGCTGTTTCAAGTGAGGAAGTGGATTCCTCACGTCCTGCATGGTAAAGAGGCAGGTGCCAAAATCCAGGTTTCCCACTTTGCTGTACAACTCATTAACATGCAACTCCCCAGCCTCATCCAAATTAATTCTGCAGAGGGCATTTTTTCTCCGTCCAGCTTTCCAAGTGTGACCGATTTAATTCAAAGAGTGAGGAGCTCCAAATGTACAAATGTATCTAAATAACTTGTGTGTGAAAAGTGATCTTGAAGCCAACAATGAGCGGAGGGTGGGTGTCGGCTCACCTGCGCACTCTCTCCATCATGTGCGTGACCAGGCGGTCTGAGATACCGGGGCAGGACTCCTCTGCTAAATTGAAGGCGTTTTCCAGCTCTTCAATGGCGCCCAGGCTGCCTCCACTTGCTCGTCGCTTTTCTTTCAGCTGTACGGGAGAAAATAATTCCCAAGTTAAACACCAGAATCCCACAGAACAGCATGTGAACCTGGTAGAAAGTGTATTACTTATTGAAGCATACTGGCACATTCAATTTTAATACATTTCTTTCCTATCCTGATTGTTTCTCAGCTTTATTTCCACTCATGTACCCAATTCCTTCTATTGTTTTTGATGTTAAGGTGTCATTCCACGATTTGATCTGGTCAGTCCTTTTAATTTCCCATGCAATCTTCAGAAAAAAGATTGAGCTCCAAACTCACATTCCACTCGAGGCAGGAATGAGTCTGCTCTCTAGAACAATGATGACCAAAACCGCAGAGAATATTTCAATGTAATGTATTGTATGATTTTAACATTACTTCCCTTAATTTCTACATTCTTAATTGTATAACCAAGCATGTTGTTGTTTTTTTTTTCGTTTCCCCATGTTCTACAACGGGCGTCATGATCAGGCAGCACAGGAGCTGTTACTAATGAGTGTAGGTTGCATATATTTCATTTTTTGAATTATGCTCATCACTGTCAATTGTAAGAGGCTGTTAAAAATAAGCAGCTGCTCCATTTTACATTTGCTTTTGTAGACTAAATTGTGGACAGTGTGGAAAATACTGATTGGCAAGAATACACTTTTCATTTAAAGTTCTTATATTCTTACATGGTTGTGTCTGTCCCCCTTTTCCTGAATGGATAAAGGCTTACCTCTCTGAAGATTGGCGTGACCAGGGCAGAGAGACACTGGGACTTGGGCTGCCTTTTCACTGCCTCTGCATTCTGCAGTGACACAAATCAGCACAAATTAACCATCTCCTTTTTGATCCTTCACATTATTAATTCAAACTCACCTCAATTTCAGAAGGGAGTTTGCAATGTCAAAATAAATAACGTGGCCATAAACAACACTTTTTTAGAAAACATAGAATACAAGAATGGTTACAAATGTGAGGTCATTCAGCCCATCTAGTGGCATAGTTTATTAAAATACAGATTTTAATTCATTCTATTTCGCTCATCCAATCTATTTTAACAATTATTTAATATTACCACAAACTTAAACATTACAGTATGAAAGTTCACATATGGCATAAAGTGCACATACAGTATACTGTATGTGGGCATATGTTGCTGACAAATGATGATGTGGCGAGCATTAAAAAGATATGCAAACTCCCAAATCAAAAATGAGGAAGAATTGAGAGTGGCAAGGAAAAAAATTAAGAGCTGGCATAAAATCTGCCAAGAAACAGTACAAATCCCAGATAGAACACCACTACAACACCAACACTAACCCACGACGCATGTGGCAAGACATAAATACAATCACAAGCTACAAGAGCAAAACAAGCCCCGTAAGCGCTACTGACCCCTCTCTCCCAAACAAGCTTAACACCTTCTACGCACGCTTCGAAGCCCAAAACCCTGAACCAACCACCCGGACCACTGACTCCCCTGCCACCCCACCCCCCACACTATCCAAGCTAGATGTGTGGAAATCACTAAATAGAGTGAACACACATAAAGCTGCTGGACCTGATGGTATCCCTGGCCTGGTACTCAGAACGTGTGCCTGGCAGATAGCTGATTGATGTCTGTACTGACATCTTCAATCCTTTCCTTGGCCTAGGCCATTGTACTGTGCTACTGCAAGACAACCACCATCGTGCCAGTACCAAAAAAATCAGCACCCACATGTCTGAATGACTACCGCCCTATTGCACTCACCCCCATCATAATGAAGTGCTTTGAAACACTACTTATTCCACACATTAAAGGCAGCATTCCAAAATCGCTTGATCCTCTCAAGTTTGCCTATCGTACAAATCACTCCACAGAGGATGCAATCTCTATAGCTTTACACACCACACTAACCCACCTGGATAAAAGGAACACCTATACAAGAATGCTAGTCATTGACCTTAGCTCAGCATTTAACACCATCCTACCCATAAAACTTTCTACCAAACTCAGGGCTCTAGGTTTAGATACCACCCTCTGTAGCTGAATCCTAGATTTCCTCACCAGCAGACCCCAGACTGTCAGGATTGGCAACCTCACCTCCAACACACTCACCCTTAACACCGGTGCCCCTCAAGGCTGTGTGCTCAGCCCACTGCTTTACTCCCTGTTCACCCACGACTGTACTGCAAGTTCAGCACAAACACCGTCATCAAGTATGCTGACGATACCACAGTCGTGGGCCTGATCCCTGACAACGATGAGACTGCCTACAGGGAGGAGATTAAACAACTTGCAGACTGGTGCCGAACCAACAACCTATGTCTCAACATCAGCAAAACCAAAGAGCTGATTGTTGACTTCAGGAGACAAGGAAAAGTCCGCTCCCCCATCTACATTGAAGGGTCTGAGGTGGAGATGGTGAATAACTTCAAATTCCTAGGTGTTCACATCTCTAAGGACCTCACATGGGCACTCAACACCTCCAGTCTCATCAAGAAGGCACAACAGTGGCTGTACTTCCAGAGAAGGCTGAAGAAAATACGCCTCCATCAACAGATCCTCACCAACTTCTACAGATGTACGTTGGAGAGCATACTGACCAGCTACATCACAGTCTGGTACGGCAACTGCACCACATCCGACTGTAAGGCCTCACCTGTGAGTTGGGAAGAGAGAGACCGTTCTGTAGTTTGTTCAGGGAGCTAGGCCTCACTGTAGGAAACGTCCAGACAGGACACTGTTCTCGCTCATCCCCATCTCCGTCCCTAAAAAAAAAACCCATTGAAACATCCTTTGACCTGGGCTGCAGGAGTCCAAGAGGGACATACAGTAAGGATATATTCTGCTGGAGTACATACATGTCTGAGTCATCTGAGCTGGACTCGTCCCCGTGACCTTCAGATTTCCAGCGTCGGTATCTGTCGATGAGCTCTGTCAGGTAGGGTGTTTTTTTAGTGTATCGTGTGATGAACTTGTGCTTCAGCAGCTCCTTGGCAGTAGGTCTCTGAGAGATATCAAACAACCATATTCACAGCTCGTCTGTTTGGATTTTATACTTTGAGCACCATATCTCAAAAACACATGCAAACAGTTTTTGATTTACACACTTTTAATTTGAACATTATTGGTTGAACACCCCTCAAGAAAGTACACCACTTCTTAATTTATAATGAATTAATTCTCACTTAAATGTGGTTGGGCTCAAAACACTGAATAAGGAAAAAAGATGGCAATCTAATTGTAATGTTATGTATGACACTGTAAAAAATGGCATTTAAAAGGCACACTGTCAGATAATGCAACATAGATGGAAGTGAATACTTCCACACCATTCACCACCCACCACTGTCAACAAGCATTCCTTTACATTTTACTTTAAATTGCTTGAATTGTTAAACAATAACAGTTAGTTTATTTTTTAGTATTATAGAAACATCTTGCATGAATAAGTGTGTTTGATTGCTTTTAATTGGGAGTGGGACCAGAATGTATTCCCTTTATTTCCATGCACTCCTGAAGATAATCTATTACTGCAATTCTAATGTACACTGAATTTTTCAGGAATGCATCTCCTGTGCACATTGAGAACTATCTGAATCCAAACTGATACTGAGCAGCACAGCGGTACTCACGAATCGTGGGTCCTTGTTCAGGCACGCCTCCACAAACTCTTTGAAGGGCTTACTGTAGCTGCCCTCCAGCGTAGGCGGGTTGTTTTTGGGGATGAGGAAGAGGACTCTCATGGGGTGCAAGTCTGAGTTTGGGGGCTCTCCCTTGGCCAGCTCAATAGCTGTGATTCCCAGGGACCAAATGTCAGCCTGCAGTAGACAGTCAGGGTTTAAAGGAGACTGCTGGAAGGGTCTGCAAAAAATATCTTCTTAAATAATTTTAGTGATTCTTAATGGTTATACAGGTACAGTCTTAATACAACAGGCTGACAAAGTAGAAAAAGGCATCATACTGCTGCCCTTCCATTTCTCTGACCCCACTCCTCATGCCCATCTAAGACCAATAAGATCCAAGAAGGTCCCTCTCGACCACGCCCACTCACCTTGAAGTCGTAGGCGGACTGTTTGATGACCTCCGGGGCCATCCAGAAGGGAGTGCCCACAAAAGTGTTCCTTTTTATCTGAGTGTCTGTCAGCTGCCCAGCAACCCCGAAGTCCGCCAGCTTCACATCTCCCTGCTCGGACAGCAGCACGTTCGCAGCTGCCAGGAAACGGCGCAGAAAAAGCAGCTCGCATCATTAGGAAGAGGCAGTGGGACACTGAGCTACATTATCATGAGTCGCATTTCAATGTACAGCTTTAAAAACTACTACAATTTACAGCATCCCTCTTGACCCAGAACAGTGTAAGAGGGATGACAGGAAGTCAATAAAGCTGGATTACAGTTTAAAGAGTTCTGTTCTCTTCAAATTATAATGTTAAAGCTCGCCAAAGGACGAACTCCCTACAACTAGCAATTAAACTGATGAAATGCAAGCGTAACAGAAGGAGTATTTTGTGTCTACGCATCAGACACCGGGACTGATGGGGCTGGAACCATTATAAAAACTGGTAACAGATTACGGTACCAGTTATGCTTCTGAAGTGGGACATGTATATATCTCACTTTATAGCATCAAAGTTTCACCACTTAAGCACATTGTGAGAGCTGTTGATGGGGTCTGTTAATTTAGCCTAAAAAAAAAGTTACACTAAGATGCAATAAACCTGACTGGCTTTAGAAGCCCCAGTGGCTTAACTTTACATAAGAAAAGACAGGAACAACACCCACAAACAGGATAAACCAGACCAATGTCTGCTGCATATCAAAGGACAGAACCTAGAGCAAGACAGAGTAGGATAAGAGGTAATTCCATATCAAAGAACAGGACAAGCACTCAGATAATGAAACAAACTTTCTTCCGACTGTATATAAGAGCTGGGAAACCCTTGCAGTTTGTCTGTTTTGTGGGGCAGCATTGTTGGACTTATTGAGCTCAAGAAAACTGAATCTGCACAAGACTGTGTCCTGCTCCTCTGATGAAGAATTTCCTACGACACTTCCTCACCTTTGATGTCTCGATGAATCTTCCTCTCTGAGTGTAGATAGTCCAACCCCTTCAAAATTTCCCGCAGGATGGTGGCAATGTAGGTCTCCTCCAGCGGTCCAGGCTTCAACTTGGAGAGAGGTGTCAGAAAACCATCACACTGCTGCACTCATCAACGGTCTAGATGTTCGCAAAATAAATGCTGACCTCCTTACTACACAGATCGTTTCAGCATTTTAAAGTTACAGAGGAACAAAGTTGAAAATCGGTTGTCATAAACTGGGGGACCTAAATGTCTACATTTCCCAGATGTTAATGACTAACCTAATTCTTAACTTCATTCACTGCAAGCATCGTAGAAACACAGCAAATGCAATACTGTACCATGCACTGAAAAATAAGTAAATGTGAGAACAGAAACACACTATGACAGTAGACAGGTGATTTTCTTGCACTCAAAAAATGAAATTAAGACCTAAGTGGAAAAACCCCTATCATTTGCAAAGATGCCTTCTATTTATGCTAATAAACTACATACAACTAAAAGCAGAGAAAATGCTGCAGCCGACAATCTCTTAAAGATTTTCCTACTTCTATCGAAGTGACAAGAGGTGCAGAAATCAGGAAAGATGGACCGACATACCAGATCCAAAGCTGAGCCCCCACCCAGGTACTCCATGATGATCCACAGCTTGGTTCCCTGAAAACAGATAAGACAAGTGATTCCAGGTGTTCTGGGCTCGCCACCCCAGCCTCGCGCTCCGGGGTTCTGGGCTAGCCACCCCAGCCTCGCGCTCCGGGGTTCTGGGCTCGCCACCCCAGCCTCGCGCTCCGGGGTTCTGGGCTCGCCACCCCAGCCTCGCGCTCCGATGTTGATTCTGAACTGCAGCTGGTCAGCCAGTCTGATGTCCAGAAGACAAACTCAAGCATGCCTATTCCTCGCTGTACAAGTACTATTGATTCCACAATTTCTGTATGTAGGTGAAAACCCATAAAAGCCACACTAAATTCCCAATAACATAACATAAAAGTCTCTGAATCATTCCAAGTCTTTGTAACTGGGCGTAAATGCGACCATATATACTGTGTTTCAGTACTGCTCATCAACAACCATTAACCCACAGCTTAACTAGGTAAACTGCAAAATTGATTTTGCTCTAGGGGGTCCCCACGTCTCAGCAAACATCCTCTCTGCTTTGAAGCTAGAAGTGCCAGGTGTCACAAACTTTATCTAAACTCTAAAAGATACTTAGTAGTCACCTAAAGCTGTACAATATTGTATCTAAAATGTTAAAATCTTTCAATCAATGCTATTAGTTTTACTAATTATGCATACAAAATATTACTCTAAACCATAACTAGCATAATGCTCTGACAATCAATTTCTGTTACGTAACAACAGCCCAGAGGAGCATAAAATAAAAACAGAAGAACAAGCCACATGCCTGGAGCTCGCATTAGTGGGTAAAGTTCACATTTCTAGCAAAAATAGTCTGTATATGTATTGCTCGCAAGTGCAGAGCTCTTTTACCAGGGGATGAGCGTAATATTTGTGCCGCAGTATGGAGGGCCCAGAAAATCACTGCACATGTACACATGGAGCAAATTCGCAGGATATTTACCTTGAGGTAGGAGCCGTAGTACTTGGTGACGAAGGGGCTGTCGCACTGGCTCAGCACGGTGATCTCCTGCTGGATGTCCTCGATCTCATCCTCCGCCTCCTCCAGGTCAATGATCTTGATGGCCACCACCTCCTTGGTGCGGTTGTTGATGCCCTTGTACACCTCTCCAAACGAGCCCTTCCCAATTCGCTCCAACTTGGTGAAATACTCCTCAGGGTCCAGGCGGGAATTCTGTGCACATATAGAGGGAGACGAGAGCACATAAGCCACACATTCCCACAGATCAACCCCGGGTTCTGTGAAAAGGTAACTCAAGTCATATAATGAGGTTGCAACCTTTTCCTACAGTCATCAACTTCTTTTGACATCTACCTGTGTCAAGCACAAGGGAAATCACAACAATGGTTAGTAAAAATAAGTGGAAATGAAAAACGACTCAATGGACTTCCACAAAAACATTTCTTTTGGAATGTCATGTGCTTCCATCACACCCAACAAGAAACTTCATGCTCTAACCCTCCACCCCTCGTACCCACTAGAACAGATCGGAAAAACCTAAACCTTTGAACAATACAGCAGGGAAGGGGCTCTGGCTGGTCATTCATTAACAACGGTGTTTTCCCAAGATTAGACTAATGGAGAAAATGACAACTGTGCCTCTTTGAATGATTGGAGGTGTTGGACAAAAAAGTGTAATACAAACAGAATGCTCAAGAGATGCTTAAGAACATCCAGATCAATAATAATATAATCGGCATTAAAAATATGAAACCTACAAGTCTCAGACCTTCTCTATTTGAGAATCAAGAAATAACTCTTCACAATGATTTTCGACGAAAATCCTGGCTACATGAGGTTAACAGAGAATAAGCTTTCCTTCCCAACTATATGCGTATGGCACCCAAAAAAATGTTGCATAGCTAAAAATATATATACTGTTCTTGCTGAGATTTGGATCTTTTTACATAAGCGAGCTGACACATGATGACGTAAAGGGCTGCATCTTGGCTGGAGAACAGGAAGGCCCGGAACTGAATGAATCACAGGGCTGCGCAGAGCAGGGGGATACAGACGAGGAAAGCGAGAGCAGAGCACGTTTCAACCCTGTCTCTGAGATAAAGGAACAAAAGGACAATGGGAACACAACATTCTTCTGCGCTTTGATCAAAGGGACGCATGTTTTCGATTCATCCTTTCCATCTTGTATTTAAGCAGTGAAGGATACATACATATAAAATATGTATTTTTAGAATAGGCTACAATTACATCTGAGAATTCCTGCACTGAAGTACCTGAGAGTCTCCATGTTTATTAGAGAATTCATCAGACCGTAGATGGGGAACTTATTTTTATATTTAATCAGAACAGCCGTGAGTTGTTTGTAATTCGTTTGCATAAATACATAAATAATGTATTTGTATGAAGTGTAATGTTAATTAATTTAATAAATAAATAGCTAGCCTTAATTAAATTTATTTTTTAAGTTTAAGTTTTTTAACAATAAAGATCAACCCTAGTGCACACCACAACATATGCAGAAAAGAATGAGGATATAATATTCAATTAATCTCAAACTCTTTAGAAATAAAACAATCAGTGATGTTATTATACTGTAAGAGATCAAAGAATCTATTTGGATCATCATAAAGTGCATAGATACAACAGTGTTGGATCAAGCAGAATAACTGGTGCCACCCCAAACTCAGTAAGTGGCACCTTCTGTAAAAAGCATACTAATGGAGTAAAACACTTGTTAACACAATATTAGCAATACTCAGGTCTATTTAATACTGTACAGCTTCCCAGTCCCAAGACATAAAATAAATTAACACAAAATAATAACTAAAGAAATAAATTATTATCATAGAATCAGTACTCATATTTTCCCACTGGTATAGTGTACAAGGTTACAAGGAGTGCCTGGTTCTTAGAGTTTAACTCTTTGCCCACTAAACTATCCATCATTATCAGAATGGACATGTATATGCCTTTATTATATAAATATACGTGGGTCTTCTGCTTCAGACTGTCAGAGCTAAGTGCATCTTCCTGCAGAAGAAAATTATTCCAAAAGTCCACTGTCTCCACACCACATTACCAAATAAATCTGATTAAAGGTCCCAAGATAAGCACCTTATCAAAGAATGACTTCTGCTCCTTTGACAGAAATATAGCTGATTATTCTCCCTAAACCCAGCTATAGCACAACACACATAAAACAATGGGAATTAATAGGCAGTTCTCCAGTCACATCAATGATCATTACAGTTTATAATTAAACAGGATGCATCCAGGATCTCACTAGAGGTCTGGTAACCTCTCTCTCATGCTTTCAGTGTCACACATTTTGAGATCAGTTTCAAACCATTAGGCTAATTTATAGCTAACACCATATCTGCACACTGACCTTGGCGTTTGTACGTTGCTTATAATGACTATAAGCAAATGAATGTCTTCACCTGCTGCTGCTGTGTGTCAATGTCCTAATAAAAAGATACGCAGTACTCAAACAGTTATACTTTCACTTTCATATGATTCCTTTTCACGTAACCTGTCTTAGATATGATCTTCAGTGCTGATCTTACTTTTTGAAAGAAACCCTCGTACTTTGTGCCCCCAGTCTTACTCAGGTACCTTGGCATCAATGGGGACCAAATGTGGGTTTGCTACATAATGCTTTATTATTGAATTAATGCTGGCAAAAGAGTCTGACTGCAGAGCTTACTGTAACCCTTTCAAAGACAAGGCTAGCTTCGCTTTGGGGTTACAACTAGCTAGCAAGCTATGTGTTTGAGAAGTTCATAAAAAATGACAGAAACCTCTGAATAGCTACCTTGCATAAGCAGTTATAAACTCAAGCCTGCAGCTACAGCAATGCTAATAGCATGTACAGGTTGCACGTGAGCAATTTCTCCTTAGTGTGTATCCACCACTTTGCACAGTCTCTGTGAAAGGCTGATGTTTCGGTGTAAGATATTTAGTTCTTTTTCTTCCACTGCTTTCGGTTCAAACTCGAAGCAGAGTTCTCCCATTCAGCAGCATGTTAGCCTGATGTCATAGCTTCCCCTCCATCCCCAACTTCAACCAGTCCAGCACTGCAGAGTCTGGACAGCTGCCCTTTCGGCTGTAACCAGGGCCTTTGTTTCTATGAGCCCTATCTAATCAGAACCGCACAACCAGAGGGCTTCATTTACAGGCTTTTCGGAGCCTCTTCAATAAAAAATATTGACACTTCAAAAAAGAAATTCATAAAAAAACACAACAAACTTTAAAATGATGCTGACCCTGAATAAGCCATAAAAGCAGTGCTTAAAAGTGGGGAAGCAGATGTCCATTACTGAGTGGAACAATAAATACAAATGGCAAATGTAAAATTACATGTTTTTTAAATACTGAAATTACAGAAAACACACAGCTGGTTCGCTAGCTCCAAAACTCGAGAAAAGATGACATTGGTGACCTTGACCCCTTTTTTAATCGAGACTAGGGAAAAGTGCTGCTACTTCACTTTTAAAACACAGGGCACTTCTTTTCAGACACACGTCTGCTTGAGAAAGCAAAAAGAACTCAAAATGCTTGACTTTAAATTAATTTCTTTTCAATTACGGTGCTTCTAGCACTGCTCTCTGGGGTACACTGGACAAAAAATTGACAATCCCTGCAGGCAACCTGTATCAATTACTGGAGAATTTTTTTCCCTGTTCTTCACTTTAGATTTCACGAGAGAGAAATTTCCAGCATTTAGATATACGCTTGCTTGTCAAAGCCACAGGCAGATCAGCAGAGTTTTATTAGTATCCGATTCATGTATTTTGATTCCAGAGCATTAGCAGAGGAAATGGAGAACTGAGAGGCGCAGTGGCCCGGCTGTCTCAGGGGTCTTGTTCACCTGGGTTCAATTCTGGTAGGGAGAGGCTTTATGTGTGGAGTTTGCACGTTTACCCCTGGCATCTTTGTGGGTTTTCGTTGTGTGCCCCGGTTTCCTCCCAGAAACATACCAGCGAGGTTGACTGCTGTGTGGAAGCTGTCAGTGTGCACGAGTTGTGCCCTGTGATGTAATGGCATCCCATAAAGAGCACAGTCCAGCCATGCTCCCTCTGCTTCAGGGACAGGCCTAGGGCTGCTTACTCAGCAGGAGAAATGCACAGCTGAAAGCTTAAAAAACCAACGGACAAGCACTGTGGTGCAATACACTACCTTTATTTCCCGCACATCCAAACCAGTATGTTCAAACCCATTTCTTATTAATATCTGACTGTGGCTGCCAGTGTCCTTGTTGGGTGAATCTCAAATCTAATACAGTGATAGTTCAGGTGGGCAGCTGCGTCAGCATGCGTAGGTTGCAAAGGAACAAGTAATAGGTTTATTCCGTGCTGAAAAGAGAAGAAAGAAAACACAACGTTTCAGCCGCGGAGCCTTCTTCAGGTGCTTCAGGTGTCCACACCCGAAGAAGACTCCACGGCCGAAACGTTGTTTTCTTTCTTCACCTTTCAGCATGATGAATAAACCTATTACTTGTTCTTGTATAATACTGTGAACCTCTTCTCTGGTGCATGGTCTAGGGTCATGTCGGGTCATATTTTACATGTGCGGGCTGGTGCATCTACATTCACTGAATCCGCTGATTTTAGCAAGTATAAATCTGCTTTATAAATGTATTTTTAGGGCAGCCATTGCAAATGTTTTCTCATTTAGAAGTGCAGCTCATGTACTGTATGTATTGAAGTTTTTTCTCTTTTTTTTATCTGTTGGGAGCCCTGTGTGATTATCTGCAGTAGTTAAAAGGGGTGACATTACACTGAACGACATTAGCAGTGCAGTAGTACACTTCAGAAAAGTCTGTGACAATACTTTCTGTTGTTTCAGTATATTTTCAGACATTTTTTTCTCTGTGGCAATCAGTCAAGAGACTAATAATAAATACAAGAACATGAAAAGAGCAGAACAAATTATGGAAAGTTGCTTAGACTTAAAATCAGCCACTAAGCCTATAAACCATAACTTACTACAGTACGGTCATACACTGTATGTGTACCAAACATACCCCAGCCTCTTGCATATGTACCACATAGCGAGACAAATAACATAGGTAATTATGTCAGTCATCTCTACCGCCACCTGGGTTTTTTTAGATGTAGTTTAGATACAGGACCAATATAGATGGACACTGCCTGATCGGGAATCCTGCATTTCAGCACAACAGCTGAAACTAATCTCTTGCCCTGTCAGTGCTGATAACTGGTGATGCTCCTTATCAGAAAGCATAACGGGGGGGGTCAGAAAGAGTCACGTTGGACAATTTAAAAAATGCGACAACTAAAACTTACAAACCGAGAACAAGCGACGTGCTAGCTTCAGGACACCTGTCCAAGACGGCTTTCCCCTGGCGTGCTCTGTGGGCAGCCGAAGATAGCAGGAGGCACAGCTGGGGAATAATCTACATCACCTAGAGGGCTGCGGATGACGGGACCCGGAGCGAGCGTGAATACCTGCAGCCTTATCCGCCTTAGGAATGCGGCAGGAGCAATGAGTGCGCTGAGGAATGGCAGGTAGCAGATGCACACACGCCTTTCTGACTTCTACCTGCACGGCTCCCGCCGAGGGTCCCGGCGAGGAGCGGAGCCCCCCTCGCCCCAGCCGAGCTCACCTGGTTCCGCAGGTCCCGCAGGTCCCGGAGGTGAGCCATCCTGGCGGTAGGGTGGTCAGGGTGAGGGCAGCCGCGGCCCTGGCCTCCTCGGATAGGGGGTGGTGGGGGCAGATGTTTAATTTTTTTCCTCCGATATTTTTTTTCTGCTTCTTCCTCCTCCTCCTCCTCCTCCTCTGAGACCCCACTGCACAAACAGCCTCCCCGTTCTGTCACTCCGAGCTGTTTTCGGCTTCGGTTCGCCCACTCGCTACTCCGCGAGAACAGGTTATGCCATGAGTGACTCCATGTCTCAGACTGGCAAGTGTAAAGAAGAATTTCGACTTTGTGTATTAATATTTAATTCTTATACAAAAAGAGACTCTCCCAGCTCCTCATTTACTGCTTGAGAGGGACACAACAAGCTGCGCACGCGTGAGTCCCTCCTGTGTGTGCGCAGAGCATTGTGGGAATAGTAGTTCTTTCCCTCCAGCAAATTGGACAGCAACTCCCAAGGCTCTGTGCGTTTCAAGGAACGAGATTTTTATAGTAGCATTATCATGCAGTGGAGAAAGCGTATTCTGTATATTTAAGTAAATTAGGTCTAATTAATTTCTCATTCCATGAAATAAAAGTTTAGTTTTACGAATAAATAATTTTAGTATTTGAATGGACTCTGGTAGTTTATTTTCTGGCAGAAGCTGCCTATCACTTTCTAACCTGATCTCGTCATCTTGTCTCAGCCGAAATGTTGTTTCTTTCCTGCCCTTAATACTGTGACCAGACACAACCAACAGACAAGCAGGTAGCTGGTGCATGTAGCGTTGGTAGATCAGTAGGTGGCGCTATATGCTGTAGAAGTTGCTATCGTTAAGATGCGACTATAACAATAATAAACTTTATTTTATATAGCGCCTTTAAAGGTGGCTTCTCAAAACGCTTTACAGGATGACAATAACAATAAATAAGAAGACTACAACAATAAATAAGAAGATTTCACAAGATAGGACACAATTATAATTACAAAAATACAACAATAACAATAGAGGAGACCGTGGAAGGTGGTATTAAGAAGAGCAGAGGAGTGAAGAATGGAACCAGTTAAGTAAAGGCTTTTCTGAAGAAGAAGGTTTTGAGTCTGGATTTGAAGGAGTTTAGAGAAGGTGACTCTCTAATATCCTTGTGCAAAGAGTTCCAGAGCTTGGGGGCATAGCAGGAGAAGGCCCTGTCGCCCATACAATGTAGACGGGCTTGGGGGACAGTAAGGAGGGCAGAATTTGAAGAGTGGAGGTTGTGAGGTGGGGAGTAGGGCGATAAAAGTTCAGACAGGTATTGAGGTGCCAAGCCATGTAAAGCCTTATAGGTGAGCATGAGGATTTTAAAGTCTATGCGGAATTTGACCGGAAGCCAGTGCAAGGACTCCAGGATAGGAGTAATGTGAACACTTGCACTCGACCTGGTCAGGATTCTGGCTGCTGAATTTTGGACATACTGCAGCTTGTTCAGAGTAGATTTAGATACCCCAGGGAGTAGAGCATTGCAGTAGTCAATTAGAGAGAATACAAATATGTTGATCAGCTTTTCAGCCACAGTTAATGATAGCATAGGGCGTAGTCTTGGGATATTTCTAAGGTGAAAAAAATATGTTTTGACAGTATGCTGTTCTATGACCCTGTTTTTTTGGTTATTAAATATCCCACAGCACTGCTTATAGGAGGAGGAGGGTTAAAGATGCATAACTTCCACCTACACAACCTGGAATTACTGAACACCCCTCTCAGTTCACCTGGTGAAGTAGTTTCTTCTCTTCGCCTGCGGTGAAGGACGAGGGGAATTCGTTCATGTATTTAAAGTTCTTGGGGCTAAAAAGAGCTTTATGAACACAATGTTGTTTTATATGTAGTTATCAAGGAAAGTCTACTCGATGTTGGTGTGTTTGGGGCGGGTCCTGTTTTAAATTGCTCCATCTCTAGATCAAATTACGATTATATATACATTGTAGAAGTGATCTGCAATAATTTAAAAATCCATTTTAAAAAAGAAATGGAAGAGGTGTAGCGAAAGAGCAAAGCGTTGTTGTACTGATTCGTTGTGACCAACACGTGTTTCGAAAGGAACCCAAGTCTAGAGAAAAGGAAGAACGATGCATCACTAGATATTACCAATAAACATGATTCCGTTTAATCCCGTTTTTAATTGCTCGATCGAGGGATCTAATTTCTTAATGTGACCGCTAGGTGGCAGCACATCACTACAGAGCAGAGATTTTGAATACGCAATTTCGGAGTCTTCAAAAAATAATGTAAATTATTCTTTTTAGGTTTATTTTTAAAGAGAATAACATATTCAGTCAAAATAACGTGCAAAACAAAAAATAACTGTTACTGCAACTTCAGTGATTGAACCAAAAAGTCTCTGCAAAACTACAATTACAACTGACAGGATGATAATTATAATAATATTTCCTTGCGCTTTTCTGGACACTCTACCCAAAAGCGCCTTACAGGTAATGGGGATTCCCCTCCACCACTACCAATCTGCAGCCCCACCTGGATGATGCGACGGCAGCCATAGCGCCCCAGTACGCTCACCACAGGATGAAAGACCAGAACCCTCTTAAACCTTGAACAGAGATTACGGGGGAACCTGACGCAAGTATTCAAAATCCTCAAAGGCACCGATAAAGATCACCCAGAGGATTTTTTTCAGAGCCGACAGTCAAACACAACCCAAAGGACACAGATGGAAATCTCAGGGATGAGACCATTTAAAGCTGGGAACATGAGGCAAGTCTTCGCCCAAGGGGGTTGTGTGAGCGTGGAACAGGTTACCCAGCTAGGCTGGAAGTCGATGCCCTGGTATTGTGCAAAAACATTCAAGGGTGAGACCCTCGAATTAGCCGCTAGCTACCGAATGGTCAATATGGGCCGAGCGGCCGTCTGTTGTTTAAAACCTTTCTTTCTGATGCTCTTCTTTTGCTCAATTCCTGCCGCGCTCTTGAGAATAATAATAAGTCAAATATCGTGTTCCGTATCATATGTACGTCATGGGAAAGAAAAAAAAGCGCACACCTCCAATTGTGTAACAGAAACTTTTGTGTGTGTGTGTGCGCGCGCGTGTGCACGGTTTTTGAAAGACTGTAAGAAAAAGACATTCCTGTCTCCGGGCCCTTTTCGCACTGACGCAACTTCTCTCCACACCCGCGTCCCCCGCAAACTGCTCGGGCAAGCTGCACGGCGCTCCTTCTACAAGCGCAGACAGGGCGCTGGTTCCAGGTAAAATGCTCCCGGCGTTGGGGATGGGGAGTGGAGGCCTGTAAAGGAGAGTCGTCTATTTCCCAGGTAAACGGGGGCGGGATATCAATACCATATTCAACACGTTGAATGGTATGAGATAATTTGCAAGTTAGACTACATAGTCACACCATTAAGTCAATTGTTTACTTTATTTCTTGTTATAAAACTACATAATAGAGTGCTGTGGAGACTGCCCCTAGAATTTAACTAAGTTTTAAAATTGGAATTAAGGGGGCTTCCGCGGACACTATGTGGAAGTGCGTTTATAACAAGAGAACAGGATGCACTTCTTTACACAAAGTGTTGCAGGAGTGTGGAACAAGCCACTCAGCCATGCTGTTGAAGCCAATACCCCGTTTCTTTCAAGAAATGGCTGAATGAGCCTGAATCAATTAACTAGTGCCAAATGGGCTGGATGGGCTGAATTTGTAACTTTTTCAAGTTCTAAAATATCTTTCCAAGAGCAAACAACAAACTAGGCTTATTTTAGAGCCAAAAGGCTTTCCTATGTAGCAGTGCTCAGTGAGCAAGAGGCTGTTGCATCTCTTCTTCATAAACCAATGTAAACAGTTTCCTACAGTATGTGAGGCTGGCACTTGTTCCAGTTTCTAATAGACTGTTTGCATTTTCGCAGAAATGCATTGCACACATCTAGCCATCTAGACACAGCAATCACCTTCTAGACTGTGATTACAGGGAGGAAGGATTGCTCTCTGTGTTTTCATGATGCAGTCCTAAAAACCCGTAACTGGGTGAAGTGAGGTGGCCAAGACCTTTAGACAAAAGTGTCAAAAACCAAGTAGGCTGAGTCTGATAAGGTTGTAAAATATTAAACAGCAACATAACATCACCCTCCTGCCCTTGAACTGAATCCTCTGCTTGTGTTACCTGTTTCAGACCTGGGCTAGTTTTTTCAAATTTGTGTTCTTCCTATTTCATTTTGCTGCTGTATAACATCCAGCACTCATACCGAAGACATAAATAAACATAGATGAAAATCTAACAGACGCTAGCTGGAGACCAGTGTCTGGAATTGTAATTTCCTCTGTCTGTTGGGATTTAGAATAACTTAATGCCTGGACTGTTGAATATTTATTACTTGGATTTCCCCATAGTTTGAGTAATACCTTCTCATAATTAACAGTCATCTTTGTGATTTTTGCTTTACTCTGGTTTTAAGGTAGTGAGCGTTAAAGAGGTTCATAACATGTATTGCCTCATGTTGTTTCTAAGAATTTCTTTGTCAAGCACATTCATTTTTCTGGAAAGAATATAACCACACTCATGGAAAAACACTTTTCAGGGAACTCATTGCCAAATATCCAAAGAGTAAAGCAGAAAAAATCTGCTGAACAGGCAGTTTCCTAACACTCCCTTTTTGCTGGCAAAATGTGTCAACACTTTTGTTTGTCAAAACAACAACAGGCAGTTCTACAGAATTTCACAAAGTACGATTTGTGACAAACAAGAAAGGCAGGAAAATGTGTATTCAGAACCGCGGGGCAAAACAAGAGTTCATGAAGAGCTGGAAATACATGTGGTTTCACTCAAGCATGGAAAGAACATGCTTTAACCAACTTCGGGATCATAGTTCATTGGAAGCATTTAAAAGCTCTTCCAAGGAAATTTGTTGCAGCTCTTTTCCCTAAAGTGAGATGACTAAGGATACAATTTGATGAGCATCCACAAAAAAGATGGAATTTAATTTTCTGTAGAAATTTTCCTACACCCCAAGGGTCATGCAAAGTGCTTTTTAATTTGTTTTTCTTGTAACTGGTAACTGTAAGGAAAGAGCCTGGTGGTCACAATTTATTGTGGAAGAGATAGATAGGAACCAGGATGACTAAACATGTCATTCTCAGCCTGAGCACTTTGTGAATGTCCTTACCAAACCACCTGAACCTACCTGAGAAAATAATGCCATCTCTCCCTCTAACACTTCAGAGACAAACCCTATGACATTTCCTATCAGGCTGTATCTGGATCAAGTCGGTTTTGTTAGCTGGGGTCTCAGTAGCGTGACCAGAAGCTCAGAGGCGAATTGAGCAAGAAAGTAACTCTGCTGGAGCAGGACAAACACTTCTAGGGAACGAGACTTTTCATTTTGTGAGTTTTTCTCTTTTCCCAGCTTGTCTGTTCATCTTTTGATGTAA